TCCCCCCCTCCTCCGCACCTTCATGGCCGCTCTGTACGCTTCCAGCACTCCTTCCACCCCCATCTCCCCCACCAGCGTCAGCCCAATGTTGTGAACCATGTGACCAACCTCATGGATCAAAATAGACTGACAAGGATACCAGCTGATGTCGTACATGTGTATTGAGGACGAGGATGAAAGGATGAAGGGTTGGGTGGCGCGGGTGGAGGTGGGGGGGAGAGAGTGGGTTGAGTGAGTGGAGGGGGGGTAAGGAAGGGGGAGGGAAGGAAGGGGGTAAATAAAAAAGGGGTAATCCGAAAAGCAGCAGCAACAGCAGAGCAGCCGCGGCGGGGGATGGGGATGAGAGATGTACGACAAATTGCGAAGGATTCAACTGCCAACTGCCGTCCCAAACATCAAACCCACACCGAAGGGACTGATGAGGTCAGGGCCCGATGGGACCGGAATTGAACTCCCCCAAGTACAACTATCTTATAGTCCACATAAACAATGCTGTGATCTTTTGATTCTTTTTTTCCTTTGTTTTAATTTTTGTTCTCCGTTTTGCGCTTGTCTGGTCTTGTCTCGGGTGGTGGTGTAGGCGAGCTGTCCATTTTGAAAGTTGTTCTAATTATAGTATTGAATAGATAGGTCTCCTGTGAGAGACGTTAGGTCAACTGATCGTATTGAATACTGTCCAGCTAATGTAGCGAACTCAAGCACTGAATGCATACCGTATCACCAAACAACAACAAGGCCCCCACAAGCGGCTTAGACGTACTTCCGCTCCGAAACCCAACAAAAGCCCCACCCCAACCAATACACCGTAACGCTCCCCTCCCCTCCCCTCCCCCTTATCTCCCCCTTATCTCCCCTCCCCTACCAGTCCCCCTGCATGGTGAGGTTCTCCTCCGCGCAGCTGGTGACCGGCACACTGGGGGTGGCGCCCAGGCCCCGGGCGGAGGAGTCCAGATTACGACCCGAGTTGTACCGCATGAAGCGGTGAGCGGGGACATCTTGAGGGGGGGGGGTAGTTGCGGGGGGGGGGGGGGGAATTGGGGAAAAGGGAGGGGATGGGGGGGTAAGGGGGGGGTAAACGAACCACGAACGAGTGAAGGGAATGCCGGGGAAATGGGGGGGTTTAAGACGAACCACATGCGATTGAAACAGACACCAGAGGTATAGACGGATATTCCGCGCAGGAATAAACGGAAGGAGGGAGGGGGGAGGGGGGAGGAGAGAGCGAGATGGCAATCAAGGCGATGAGGGCAATTACTAGGTACGTTTGGTTATCTATCCACCTAGCTGACCAAGTCCAAGGTGAAGCCAAAGGTGAAACAAGGGCGAAATGACCACCGGGCGGCCGAAATTATGGGGAATAATCGCCGAGATGAAGACATCGGAATTACGAAGAGGAAACCGTCTAGCAGTAGCAGTAGCAGTAGCAGTAGCAGTAGTAGTAGCAGTAGTAGTAGTAGCAGTAAAACGTCAAGAGGCTAAAGGAGGCGATGAGCAAAGGCTACCGAAAGGTGCACGCTGACCTGGCGGCGGAAATAACTTCTGTTATTTTGCTGACATGCTTTTGCTGCTGCTGCTGCTGCTGCTGCTGCTGCTGCTGCTTGCTGACTTGCTGACTTGCAAGTGCCCCTCACAATCTCCCCCCCCCAAGCTAACCGCCCCTGGAACGAACCAACCAACCCAACCAACCCAATCGGTGTGTGTGTGTGTGTGTGGAGAGGGTGGGCGATCGGGGGTTGGGGCGCTTCTAGAAGGTGGTTGAAAACGGTTGATGGCAGAGGGGGCAAAAGGTTGAGGGAGAGTGGAGACGAATGAAAAGGAGGGAATTGGGGGAGGGAGAGAGAGATGAACCACAGAAAATGTTCTTCTTACTCCGGCGGCATCTTTAGCTATTTGGTCTTTAGCCATTTGGGGTAAGGAATTGTTACCCCGTATTGTTGGCTTGTAATAACTATAGAAATTCTTTTATATTTAGTATTAGAAGGTTGTTATAGATTTAAGAGATTTAAGAGAAATCATTGTTCTTGCCTTGGGGCAGATAGGGCAGAGGCAGCCCAAGGGGGGGAGGCGAGGAAGATGCGAAGGGAGAGGCGAGGATGTCCTCAACCCTAATGCCTTCTTAACCCAGCACAACCGATTTGACCAGCCGCATTCCAAAAATAACCCATCGTTGATTCATAACCTCCCCTCCCCCCTTACACTCCTTTCCCCCTTTCGACTCCGTTGTCTTCCCCCCTTCAAGGTGAAGGCTTCACCCTCCCCACTCCCCTTCTCAACCCCCTTCGCCCCCCCCCCGCCCGCACCTGTCACAACCTGCCCCTTGCCGAATACGGCAAATGAGGCTCCCCCCGCCACCAACCGCTCCAGGAGGGGGGCGGGGGAGTGAGACAGTACGGCACCAACCACGTGGACCAGACGGGACACGGCCGCGTCGGAAACGCAGTCAAAGGCCTGCGTGCCGTGTTTCCGGGTTTTACGAAAGGGGGAGGCCGGGAAAAAAGGAGGGAATGTGTGTGTGTGAGAGGGGGATTATACGGTAATACTTGTAATAATGATTCATATGATCGCAAACTGACAACTGAGCAGCCTGCGTCCGAGCCACAAAAACGGGAGCGGGGAAGAGGGGGAGAGGGCTGTTAAAAGTTGGGCCTTTACCACCAACTAATAATGTCATCAAGCCCCCGGGGGATTCAGGTGTAGGTGAGGTTGAGGAGAAGGTGGTTCCTCCACACCCCCTGCCGTACCCTCTGCCGTACCGTCTGCCGTACCCAAACTCCAAACTATCAAAACACACACGCCAAACCAGAAAGCACGTGGTCCGTCTCACCCAAATCGGCATCCCAAGTACGGAAGACCGCTGTCGGAAACCCGGCTCCGAAACCTGGCAGCCGCCCGCCACCACGGCAGTCGTCGCCGCGGCCGCTGACGTCGACCCCGCGATGTCATTGCGCGTGCCGCCGCTGCCCGGCGGCACCGCCGCCGCTGCGACGGCGCCGCCGGTCCTGCCGGATGCTGTGACGGCGGCGGCGGCGGCGGCATCGGTTGTTGTTTCTGTTGCGGTTCCAGTTGTGTTGGTTGAGGTGGTTGCAGTCGTTACCCCTAGTTGTTGAAGTCTCCTGCCGCTGGGGTTTAGTTCGGTTTTGTAACCGTCGTCGGTTACCGTTAGGATCACGGATGGACCTGGCTCGGCACAGGGGGGTGTAGCAGTGTGTGTGTGTGCGGGGGGGGGAAGGCCGAGTAACTCAAGGCATGCTGCTGCTGCTGCTGCTGAGTTCAGTACTGCGGAGGTGGGCGCTCTGCTGCCGCATCGGCAGCTGCAATTAAATCCTCTTGGACTTTTGTAACCCTTTTCTCCCCCTCCTCCTCTCCCCTCCCCCCGGGGTTTTCACCCATACCCGTTTCCCAACCTCATCCCACCCACCACCACACGTCGGCATTTGACACTCCGGGCTACATCTCCCCCCCCCGGCCCCCGAACAATTCCGTCCCTAAAACCCCTAAAACCCTAAAACCCCAACTTCCCCCCCAAGTCCAGTGGTTCGTCTCCCCCCCACACACGTCCCCTCCTAGCCACCAGCAGTTTCCCACCAGCAGTCGCCAACAGCAAGTACCTGTGTAAGTGGCAATGATACCTCGGGACTTGCTCCGAACCCGCCACGTGTGGAAATTGTACGTCCCTGTACGGGAGCACCATTGTACGACGTGACTGAGAGGGATATAGTTACGAATGGAAAAAATGCTCCCTGGTCAAGTTGCGATGTCTAGCTAACTGTACTTGGGGGGGGGTAATGGTAGTCGCTGATGGCGCCCGCGCCCCGTGTGCAGACGAAATTGAAGCTGTACGGAAGGTAGGCATGTACGGCAGAGACACTCCGCTACCGTATTTCCTCCGCCATCAGTTCGAGCAGCAATGGCATGGCTAGCTGGCTTCCTACCGTACGGTAACCCAAGTCAAGCCTATGCTGGATCACATGCCGTACGGGCCGTACACGACTAGTACGGGTACATCGCACGGATGCATGATTAGTACTCACCCAAATACGCGGTCCCATAGGGTGCGACGGTGCTGTGAGGGTTGTCCCGCAGGTCGTCGCCCCAGGATAGCTCCAGGGGCTCCTCCGTGCTATTGACAAAAAGATGGAACATGTTCTCACTGACGAGACCATTCCACTCCATTTGATGGACGTCTTTTGATAAAGTGGCGCCCACAGCAGCAGCAGCATTGAGTTGGGCCGCGGTTGCGGCGGGGGCCAGCGTTCCTCCAGCGTCCTCAGCTTCGGGCGCCATGAATGAGATGCTCCTAGCGGCTAGTGGCTGTCCGTTGCTATGACGACAGTATATTAATGGTAAGGGTATTTGGACACGAAAGAAATCTAATAAAGGTTTCCTATTCCATAGTTTGTAGTGGTCCAGTTGTCATGATCAGTTGTGCTGGTGAATTTCATGGAGGATAGATCACAGCCAATAGGATCGAGTAAATAAAACGTATACTACAATATTGACCTAGCCAGTATAAAATTGATAGAGGTTAGGTCAGGACAGACACTTGACAAGTGTCACACAATGTGTGATGCCCAGACCAACCGGCAACGGTAGACGATGTGGGTAGAAGAGGGTAACAGCAGGTACTGCTATTTTAAGGTCTGTAGTTGCAGAAATGCTCCAACGGACATAATTCCGGAGAACACGGTGCAAGCTGTAAACCGAATGCCCCGAATAAAGTCTTGGGAAGCTAGCAATACATGCTATGCTTCCTTGGTTTGAAACTTCTATGCCTCGTGCCGGAAAACCCGTTGCAAGGACGTTGTTATCTGAGTTACGACTCCCGTACAGTCCCGTTTCTATGCTCACAATATCTTAAACATTATGGTCAAATCTGTTATAGTCCTTATAAACAGGTTCGTGTATCTTGGCATTGCCTTTGATTGAACAACAGCTGGAGCTCTTTTTGGCGTATGTAAAGCCGTAACTGCGGTGTGCTGCCGCGCTTTAACTTCCAGACCTAATCGCATACGTAGTAAAGAGGCTTGAGAGCCATCACTGTATAAACTGAGCTTAGTTTCCATCGGTAGCCTGGTCGACGCGCCTTCGACTTCGTTTTTCCTCGGCTAGCTCAAATGTACAAGCCCCACCTTGCTGAGAGCTACCGAAAGGAGCTGGTCGCTTCGTTGCAGGTTGGCGGATTTTGCTCCTGAGCTTGCCGTGGCAGACGTCTTACACCTCTTGGGGTAACGTGCGGCAGGCGAAAGGGAAATTAGCAAAGCAGATGACGGAGGCCGATGAGAGGCGAGTCGTCGAAAATAACGAAACAGCGACCCGCATTTTCCCGGCGCATTGGGGCAAAGAAGCAGTCCTCGAGAACATGGTGCTGAAAGCAACGCAGCGGATAGACTCTGCCAAGGACAAGGTCCCCACACAAATTTCATCTGTGGAGGCTGTAGGGCGCTGCTATCCTGCGAAGCGTGATCCAGCCGCACGGCACAAATTTGAGGTTAGTCCATGCTGATGTCATCGGCTGCAACACACGCCTGCCTTACCTGATATCAAGACACGATCCAGCACAAACTCGTTTGCTAGTCAGGCCTAGTTTTTCCTAGCCAGGTATTCAGTTCTCTTCAGTTCTTCTGTGTTCTGTTCGAAGCCCTTTACGGTCGGGCTGTGGTCGGGGAGGAGCTCCAGGGTATGGTCTGTTGGAAATGATCGACACTCATATACCAGGCAATGGTAGCCACAGTAATAGGACCCGGCTAGGGTCCGGCGCTTTGTTGGTTTTAACATGGTCCCCCAAGAAAACGCACAGACGAGGAAAGAAGTTCCTGGATATCTTTGGTAATCCACTTTGATTACACCGACACACTTCCCCGGTGCCACTGTCATCCACGAGCTCATCGTGGCGCTTTCCATTACAGCTAGGTCTAACTCCTTACCTTACCCACAACCCCCACACACATACACTTCAGATTGCAGCGGTTTGTCTTCTTTGCAATGCATGCACATGCCGTACAAGCATGTCACCCCAAGCTGCTTCTCCTCACGCGCGCGTCCAACCTTTTCTCTTCCTCCTTCCCCCCTCTCTCCCATTCCCCCAGCTGCACCCCGGCCAGGCCAGTGGTACTCACACCTGGTAGCTACCACGACCATCACCTGCCTGATACCTCCCATACCTTTTCCCCACCTCACCTCACCTCACCTCACCTCACCTCACCTCACCTCACCTCACCTCACCTCACCTCACCTCACCCCTAGAGGAATTTTCTATATATGCCTTTTGCATATGTATGTATGCATGTATATGACCCCTTTCCCCTGTCCCCCTCACCTCACCTTTTGCATATGTATGTGTTTATATGGCCCCTTACCCCCGTCCCCCTCCCCTCACCCCATTCCCGGCAGGCGCGTATCAATGAATTGGAGCTGGAGGTCAGGGCCGAGCGGGAATGGCGCAATCGATTGGAGTCCGAGGTCCACACGCTGAGGGAAACAGCTTCACGGGGGGGCCAGTCGTGAGGGGGAAAAGAGGGGGGGAGGAGAGGTACACATGCCGACGCGTGTGTGTTTTAGTGACCTGAGTGTGTGTACGGTTGAGGGGGAAGGGGGCAGAATATCTGCGGCAGAAGGGTAGAAATCGCTTATGTTTAAAACACATAGCAACTGCTATGCGAGGCTTGAGGGCATTGCGTCTGCGCGTGTTTGTGCACATGTATATTTGTATGTATGTCTGCGTCCATAAGTACCTCGCCAGTTCGGGGTGCTGATGCAGGAGCGCGGAGCGTGTACACGCATGTGTATGTGAAGGGGGACGGCAGGAGGGGACAATATACAGTTCAAAGTGCACCTCACTTTACTAGGACAGGGGGCTGAAGGCTCTAGACAGGGGGCTGAAGGGCCTCAACGGGCATGCAGCGTTAGGTTAGGTTAGTTCCGGACGCCGGAATCGCAATCCCCCCGTTGTTTCGCAGTTTCGGAGCGCCATCGCCGCCAGTGCTGGGTACCGGAGGGGGTTTGGAACCGTGCATGGTGACGAACAGTACGACAGGGACACGTGTACAGCCGAGCTGAGGCTGAGGGGATGGGGCCCTGGCAGGCTTTGGACGAGCAAGGAATATTCGCGCGGGATGGAGCTCTGGGGGTGAAGGAAATCCCTTTTGTCGTGGCCGCGGGGCGGAGATGGGGAAGGGGCACAGTAAGGAGGGAGAAGCGGGAGGAGGAATAGGAAGTGGAAATATGGAGTTGGGTTAGGGCGAAATTTGGTTAGGGGGACTACGGAGGGACGGTGGAGTGGTGGTTCAGCTCGGGTGGGGGAGAGCTCTGCAGGAGGCGCGCGTGTGCAGGAGTGTCAGTGCGCTAGCAGTTTGGGACAGAATGGAGCCTAGTTGCTGCAGTCCGCTTTGAAAACCGCACTGAAACACGGAGGCATGCCTATCTTTGAGGATTGGCCGCGCTTTTGGTGGTTGGGGTTTGAAGCCGTGCATTTGGGTGCTGGTAGCAAGGCATGCAGATAGCCAGGATTGGCGTCGATATAGTGCACAGGTGCAGCCTAATTCGAGAATACTTATGGGCGGTTTTTCACTTACTCTATTTACGTTCCCTAAGGACCGGAGATAGGGAGGTGAGCGGTCGGAAGGGAAACAGCAGCTGTGTCTGGAGACCGTGAGGTGAAGACCGCCGAAGCACTTATTTTTACTTGCGACTGGTGATTTGCTGCTCCTCCGGTAGCTCCTGTCTTGCAGGATGAGCGAACTGTAGACTGGCTGAGGCTGTATTACCAAACTGGCAGATTCGAGCATCATCCGAAGATGCTTGGGAATTTCTAGGTGCTTGTAGTGTTTATCCTTAGCTTCGCAGTGTACTGATGCTCGGCACTCTGCTGTTTATCGCTACCATTTTGTTTGCGCGCCGTCTGTGCATTTTTATGACGCGCGGCGTTTAACGATACCATTCATTGGACCTCGCTTGGGAAGTCATGTAAGGATAGTTTCTGTCAGTTGTCTTGTGGCGTCCGCATAACACGTAAGGAGATGTTGATTCGACAGCGTCAACTCTGCTGCAGCCGAGCAGCAGGCGCTCTAGTTACAGATACTAACTTTAGCATCTCATGGCCTGGATGTGGCGTCATGGTTTTCTGGCAGCTAGGTAAAATGCCGGCTGTCCCTGGTTAGTTATTCGTCCAAATGCCAAGGCAGCTGGAACTTCCTCAGTGTGGAGTTTACTGCAGGCGTCCTCAAAGGATTATCTAAAAACTTTGACACATCCAAGGTTCCCATGGTGGGCAGCTCTAGCGGCGCGTTGGTGACAGCATTGGCCGCATGTGGTGTGCATCCCGAGCACGCCGCTGAGGAGCTGGAGCGCCTGCTCAGCTGCGAATCCATCCTCAAACGCCGCTTGGGGCTGTTTGGTATTTTGGGTGAGCGAGGGTAACCGGTGGTTCTCTATAATTTATGGTGGCAGCGCGGAGCTGGCGAGATGGTGATAGACAAGCCTGCTGATTGAGACACTCTGTTCCATTCTGCACGACAACTCAGCTCATATGCGACCTGCCACTCAGTCCTACCTCCTATGTGTTTTCACCGGTTTTGGGCTGCAAACCCCCAAGGCGCCGTCACGCGAACGTGGCTGGACAACTGCCTGCCTAACGATGCAGGTGGGTTGTACGGCGCTACGGCACGATGGACAGACAGATAGACAGAAAAACATGCAGACAGATAAATCTCCACGCGCAACGGTATATATATATACTGCAAGGCAGCTGTACGGCTCCTGGC